TGCCTTGCCTTGCCTTGCCTTGCCTTGCCTTGCCTTGCCTTGCCTTGCCTTGCCTTGCCTTGCCTTGCCTTGCCTTGCCTTGCCACTCATCGAGCTTAAGCTAAAGTACCAACATTTACTAGTTCCGCCTCCTAATTTGTGAATATTTGATGGTTTATTTGTTCTTCTTTAATATTAAACAAATATTTGTTGTCTTAACAAGGAATTTAGGAATTGTGATAGGGTGATAAAATAGTGATGAGAAGCGGGTTAGAGGCGTGATTACTTTATCTAACTCTACTTTTTTACTAATAATCTTCAGCCCCATCTGACGCTGTCTCAATTTACCTCACAGTAAGGACTTTATATAAAAATCTTTAGCATATGCCGTAGTACCCCCGAAGATCTTTAAACCGGTATTAAAGGTAGGGTAGGTAAGTTTGAGAAACCGGCTCGAGATTGCTAGAATTTGAAAATACACAACCGGAGAAAATCTGCCACTTCCTTACAGAGCCCCTCCTCCAACACACACGAACGCGCACATGACCAATGAGGGCACGAGATAAGTTTGTGCACAGATGGAAGGCTGACAGGCAGGTAGGCCATCCAGTTATTTTAGCCGGGCCGGCTAAAATGATTGGTCGTGCTTTTAACAGTACTACGGCTTCCACAGATGACATTTTTTTATGGATTTTTTGTCAAAGCACTGAAGATATTCATTGCTATCGGGATGTTAAGAGCATTCCATGGAATGACATTATTTTAATTGATGGAAAAACTCTTTCTCTCTTCTAGTTTGAGCCTGAAGGAAAAGGCTAAGGTGGTCATTGTTGCTGAAATGCAAACATTTTCTATGAATGCTTATGCTTTCCCTCATCATTTGCATCGGTATCTGGCAATGTGAGAGCCCATACCAGTGCTTCTTGTGTAAATGTGAGATGCCCTGCCATGCTATTTGTGCTCCTGACCTTGCAGAGTCAGTTTCTCCGTTTAGTCAAAGATCAGGAAGCTTTCCCCTTAAGTGTTTTCTTGGCTAAATACAGTAGCCCTTTCTTTGTCTAGCTCAGATAAATTCCCTTTTCAGTCTTGTACCCCACAGGGATGACGGTAATTTGGGTTGTTGACTCTCACATGAGCATATTGTTCTCCTCCATCAGAAGAGCACTGACAAAGATTGAGAAAGATTAAGCCTAGTGTGGAAGCAAAGCAAATGTCACCACCACTTATTGAAAAGCAGTTCTGGAGTGGTGTGCTATGAAACACAGCAGGATAGAAAGGACTTTGAATCCTGTCTATGATAAAGACGCAGAACCAGTGTTTACTTTGGATGGATGATGGTGTTATCCGGGTTGACTAAAAAGCATTTACAGCGCTTGTGATTTGTATTGTCCTGCTGCACAGATAGATCATAAACTATGACATACTGTACTCTGAAAGCATTCAAACGTAAAATACAAAGGAATCATGTAAACCAGGATAAAATGATGGAGAACTAACAGACGGGTCAATAGCTGTTGGCAGCAGCTTCCCCTCAGGCCGTAACTCTATACTATGTCAAGGACAAGAGTAGGACATCTAACTGCCCCCCCCCCCCGCCAGTATGCATCATAGCTAGTGATGCAAAACTCAAGACTACTGGATGCTTCCTCATTAAGTTCAACTGTGTTGTTGTTAGAACTTTTGCAATTGTGAATTTAGATTAGAATTCACTGCCACATTGTGTTTTTGAATGCCTCTACAACCTCGTATAATGTAAATTGGAGTGGACACATCATACAAGAGAGACGTCTTTTTTTGAGCTGAGATCTGACAGATGTTGTGTTTGGTTTTAGGGTTGCAAGTGATAGCAGGAATAAGACATAAAAACTGTTCCTGTAGTTAAGAGCCCCATTTTCTTATGTTCTAAGATAATTGAAATGCTATGAAAGAGTGTATGAGTATATTTTAGTCTTAATAAAACAGTACAAATAGCATGTTTTGTAGGGGAAGTGAGAGTGCATGTGTTTAGTCTACCCATACATAAGTTTGCACATTCATACAGCATGTACAAATGTGTACCGTAACCGAAAAGAGTTATGCATCATATTTGTTTTTATTTCTAAAGGATAAAAAAGTCTTCAAGCAGCTGGTCCAAGCGCTGTTGCTTCTGTGCCCTGCTAGCTGCCACTCACTCAGTTACTCAAAGCCTGGTATAAGTGTACAGATGGATTATGTTGATAATGTGTAAATGATACTATTGAAAAGTACAGTAGGCCAGATTAGGACATGTTGACTCTGTTACATAGTATACAGAGATTAAAGCAGCAGGGTGGGGATGAGGAGGGTTAGTCCCTGTCCTCGAGGAAGAGACTTTATCAGGATCCAGGCTTTTTCTCACCAGGGGTGCTGTCCTTTATCTGACCTAAAGTCTGATCCTCCGATGGGCCATTTCTCTCTTAGTAATACTATTAACTCAGACGTTGTAAACATGGTTTTAAGTCTTATCTGTACACAAAAATAAGTAAAATAGTTGTTTTTGTTCTGTGTAAATAGTTGGTGGGATTTTAGTATTTTCATTGTTGTTTTGTTTGATGCCATGCTACCCAGTGCAGCAGTGGGTGAGTTAAAATGTGATGATAAAAAATAGATTAAAGAAGTATAGCACTACACTCAGGGTGTTCGAAAGCCCAGAACCAAAACAAAGTGTTCAAACTTTGTGCAACCGACACATGCACAGGGCTCCCCAGTGAGTCCCCAGGGCTCAGCAGATACTATGCTGCGTGCTCCAGGGCCATAAATCCTCTTTGCATGGCTGGTGATCAAGCCATGATGTAAAGGAGCTTAGTGGCAATAGACAGACACAAGCAGGGAGCTGCTCTCCTGTTGGCCGCGTGTCAGGTGATTACACCCACAACACACACGGGAGAGAGAGACAGCAGAGGAGAGGTGGAAAAACAAAGAGGGACATTGACATGGAGAGGTAAATGAATGGTGACAACAGAGAGTGTTTTCAACAGAGAAACAAGCAGAGACGAATCTGAGGTTTTCTGAGTGAAAACACAACCTGGGCCTCCTGCTTCCCCACACTTTTATTTGAAAGCAGGTGCTGCATATATGGATGTTTTCTGGCAGCAGTCAGGTTATGTACCGTCTTTGAGTGTTAGAATTTGAGAGGTAACATGGTGAAAGAAATGCCTATAGGTATTTTACAATTGTTTTTATTTTGTCTATAAAATGTCAGAAAAAACACATTATTGGGCGATGTTTTTAAATGAAAGCAAAAGATCATCACATTTTCTGAAGATATAACTAGAGAATCTGTGTCATATTTGCTTGAGAATTGATTGAAATTATCAATCTATTATCTAAATAAATGTATTTATGTCAATCAAAAAGTGGATTAATCGACTAATTAGCATTGGTAAGGCACTCAACTGCTTTTTGCTGTCATAATTATTTTGGCAGCATGAGTAGATAGCTTATGTAGCGTCACCCTTTGTCTTTTTTCTGAGCACTGTAGCAAATGGGGGAGAGCTTATTCTGGGCATGTCTGTCTATACCAGGGGTGGGGAACCTTAGGCCTCCGGGCCGTATACGGACCGCGAGACCATTTGGTACGGCCCTCGAGGTAATTTATAAACACACGCAAAAAAAAGAAATCTAGACCGCAAAAGAATGAAACAAGCGAGTGCCTGTTTTTCCTGGCCAAGGTCAGGGTCCTTGAACACAACACGAGCCACGTGTCATCACGTGGTATATGTCTCGTCTGACAGGGGTGTAGTGCTGACGGAGAGCACCAGAACGTCGCTCCGGCACTTCAGAAATCGCAGTACCCATAAGGAGCCGTACACATGCCGCAGTTTTTGCGTGGCTGTGTCTTTAGTTGAAAGCCCAGTGGCGATCTGTTCATCTGTCATACTGATCATACACTCCATAACTTCTTTGTTATTAGCATCTGGTTAGCGAGCTATGCTAACGAATATAAGCTTTTTCTACAACCAGTGAGTTAAAGGCACATCTTTATATGATCATTTTATAGTTATAAAAAAACAAGAGAATAAAGTAAACGGGTATAAAATACTATATGACAGTAAAAGAAAGTTGTTATTAATAAACAAGAATACAGTTTAAAAGGGGAGTGATTTGTAAAATATCCATAAAGAAAAATAAAATGTGCTTCCAGTTCTGTTTCATATAGGTGTTGAGAGATGTATCCATAGAGCTCCTAATGTTGCTCTCAAAGTGCACCAGATTGATGCTTTTAACTTCAACATTTAAAAATAAATCTTCCCGGGGGAGCATGCCCCCGGACCCCCCTAGAGGAGGTTAGGTCCCCCCCCCCCCCCACACTTAAATCATGTTCATATGGATAGGAAACTAAATACATTTGCACACATCTTGTGTCCATATCTTTCTGTTTTGGTGGTCATGCCACAACCGTGCATGCATGCGCGAGTCATGGTAAGATATCTGGATTAAGAGGTTGCTTTTTCTTTGCACAGCATGAAAGAAAGGCGAAATGAATGGGCTGTGGCCCTTGAGAGGAAAAAGGTTCCCCACCCCTGGTCTATACTGAGCTTTATGTCAGACACCATCATAACAAAAATTGACAGACACATTTTGTTGGACCGGTTTGACTCTGAATGTGGCTGCCCGTGAATGTTGTGCTTTTCTTGCCATAAGCAGTGTCTGCAATGTATCTTCCTTGCTCTATGGCTTTTAGATTGAGCGGTGACGAGCTCATTCATGCAAGTATGAGGGCAAGCCTACTCCGGTTGGTGCTTATGAAGAAAGAACAAATACATTGTAGTACAAATGGGTTAAAAAGGAAGGGGTGATACTTGTGTGTCATAAAATGCCATCAGACTGTTGATTTGAATATGCACATCTATCCACTCACCTGGGACTTGAACTCGCCTTATCTCTGTTCATTCATATCTTGTAATGTTCTTGTTATAAACACAGGCCAGCCTCACAGGAGATGAATGCACTACCTTGTAAACTCTTAGTCATGTAACTGTATTTTCTTCCTCCCTCCACAGGTCACTTTCCTCCTTCCCTCCCCCTGCTCCCCTAGCATCCGTCACAGCGCTGGTTGTCATGGAGAACTCTTCAGTGGCGTCCGCATCGTCGGAGGCTGGGAGCACACGCTCGCAGGAGATAGAGGAGCTGGAGCGCTTCATCGACAGCTATGTGCTGGAGTACCAGGTGCAGGGGCTTCTGGGAGACAAGGTGGATGGGGACTTGGACCTGGACAATGGTGGCAAGGTGCCACAGGTCAGTCTTATTATTTCACTGGATGACATGCAGAAAAAAAAATTCTTAGTACAGACTCTGGTGGTTTCTGTCATTCAAATATATTATTGTGGGGTACAGCCTGCCCCTAATGGCATTTTCATTATTTTCTACACAAAAATAAACCCACTTTATTTAATAAAGCACCTTCTCCCCCCCCATTTCTCTCCTCCAGTGGACAGATGACTGTAACAACAAGAAAGATGGCAGCTGGACGTCTTCACGGGGAAGAGGCTCAACCAAGCCAGTAAGTGTTTCTGCTGGGTTCTGCTTATTTCACAGCTTTGGAGGTGACCATTAATTATGCATTCAATAATCAGTCACAGTTTAGCTTTGCAAAGCATAGTCATGATCCCACTAAAGGGCTGTACCGGCAAAAATGCTTGGATCAGCTGTACCCTGCTGTCCATCTCAAAAAATATATGGTTGGTCTTTATTTTAGATCGGACAATAACGAAGCAATAACAAATGGTAAAGCTGCAGCATATTCATGAGTTCATAACTGTTGCATCATGCATCCCCTTTACTTTTTGAAGATGTATAAATATATTTTAAGTCTGACGGCACACAAAGCAAGACTCTAACTTCTATAGTGTAAATAAAGCTAAAACAATGGGGAGGGAATAAAGATTTTATGAAATTAAAACACAAAGCTCTGACCTGTGTTTTAGTCACAACACATGACAAAAAAACAGGGTCAAACGACTTATTTAAAGGGGCCCTATTATGCAAAATCCACTTGTTCATGTCTTTTATATGTCCTGACCCATTTACATAAAAACCTGTCTGAAAATGAGCTGATCAGATTTGAGCCACTTTATGATGTCATAAAGAATTTTTTTCTTGTGTAACCATTAGCCAATAACCAACCAAGGTATCCCACCCCCACCACCTTATCACCTGAATCTCCTCCTAGAGCACCATTGTGTTCTTTTTAACCATATATCTCTGAGGGGTGTGGGGAGTGGCTCCTTATTGAGCCAAACACTTCATAGACATGTTTTGTATATATCTGAGACCTAAAATATATTGATGAAAAACAGTATAATAGGGGACCTTTAATGTAGCACATGTCCGATTCACTTTGTGACCCATGAATCTATGTTGCTAGTCTGCAGTAACTGTGAGGGTAGTACCTTTATGCTTTACCCTGATTCTACTGCTACCTCCATCTTGTTGTCATCCTCCCTCTGGTCACTGGAGCATCTCATTGATTAAAGCGTAGGTTTGCTCAGCTCTCAGCTCTGTATGTGCTGGTTAGTCTTTTCCAATCCGTCAGCTCAAATGTTTGGCTAGAAGTGACTGCACAACAAATCCACAGCTCTGCACACTCTGCTAGCCTGTGGTTGGTGTAGAAAGTACGCTCTTAACTAACATGAGATACTGTGCGGCCTGAGCCAGTAATTTAATCATCTTAAATGAATTATCAGTCAGTTAGTCCTCTTAATATCTGAGCGTGTGTGCTGCTCTGCTCAGACTGTACAGTCTCGGAGATTCAGAGTATTATTGCTCATCAGAGATTTAGAGGTATGATTCACCAGAGGCCTGCACTACGAAGCCGGATTTTCGCTTAGCGAGCTAACTTCAGGGAAAACTCTGGGTTTCCGGTCCGACGACGCTGGTTCACTTCTTAGCGGGCTAGATCTCCATGGTAACTTATGCTGAACGGCTAACCTGCCCCGGAGCAGGTTAGGTTCCAGGATAAGAGATCAACTCAGTGAAAGCACCGCCTGCTGACCAATCAGAGCTCAGTGTGTGGAGTTTAAAGCTATCAAGTCATATTACAGGATAAAGGAAATACAGAAAAACTGCCGTTGCAGGAAAGACGGCTGGCAAAAAACACCTGACTGTGTGAACGTGAAAATTAATAGAATATCCCCTCCCATCTTCAGAGCAATCTGACTATTATAACATTAGTGTTAAGAAAGCTTACTTAAATATCTGCCACAACATGTAACCGGATCAGAGTAACATTAAGTACAGTCCGCGGCACTGTGAGTGCAGACGTAGATGTGTCCCATTATCATTCATATCATATCACATCATAATTAATGTATCATATATTTCCTTATCTGAGTCAGCTTCTTGAGCCGTATCTGGCCGTGCAACACTCAGTGTCACATACTGTTTGCAAAAGTATTATTTTAAGCAACACATTAAGTTGACGAAACACTGGAGTCAAATGTAATTAAAGTCAGATCCACTCGTGTCTTGGACGGGGCAGTGATATCATAAACCTGTTAATGTACGCATTCAAACACTTTTTCTTTTACCAGCTGTATTCACCTTGCAGGTGCAGCTATGTGGCTTTTATCCTGGATAAAGTGTTTAAGTCATGGATGTTTAAAGTTTAACTTCTTCATATGTCTAATATTATAGTTTACTTTTCATTCAGGAAGTATGACGCTGCGCTGTCAGTACGCTTCTCCATGTTTGTGATTGGTCAAATGTTGCTAGCCCCGCCTCTTTCATGTGAACGGGCACTCAGCCGGACAGAGAAACCCTGGCTTTAGTTACCGAGTAGCGAGAGCGCGTTTGTTTTGGATTAGGTAAGCCAGCTAACTCAAACATATCCAGGGTATGTTGAACTGGATTCGTAGTACAGGCCTCAGGACGTGAGTGGTGAAGCAGAGCAAGTGAGAGGTTCAAAGAGTGCAGAGTGTTTTAAAATATGAAGAAGGTAAAGAGAGGGATTGGAATTGAAATGTCAGTATTTATATCAATACATCAAGTTCTTGTCAATTCAGTGCTGAGAAAATAAGGACTTTTATGCTTGTTTACACGCAGCTTCTGAAAGTAAACATGTTCAAGACTTGGCAATGGAACAAGAGTTTTGACAGACACAGAATACTCAGTCCTCTGCTTTCACCTCCTCTTTCACCCCTGCAGGATGAGTGGGATCACAGCAGTAACGGCAGCACAGGTTCCAGGCCCAGTTCAGGTTCCAGACCAGGATCTGGCTCCCGCTCAGGCAGCAGAGGCAGAAACAACCAATTCACATGCCCTGCCAAGGTAAAGATACACCTGCGTGCTCGTGTGTCTTTGTCTGCTTTCTCATATGTCTCTTGCTGTCACAACATATATGTATGTTTGTCTCCACTGGCTTTAGTAGATCAAGTGGTGCTTCTGTTTATGATGTTTAACCAAATCTAAGGGAGCTTGATATGTGATGGTTTGTTAAGAAGTGTTTTGTAGTCGTACTGAAATATTTTCTTTGCTGTTGGGACAGAATGGGAACAGAGAAGGCTCCCTGGACATCCTGGGGACAGACATATGGGCTGCCAACACAATGGACTCACGCGGGTAGGTGCCTGTCTGATTCACAAACCTCATATGTTGAACAGTCTACTGATTCTGAATTCCAGCCATAGTTCCTGGAGGGTCACACGCCTGATTAACACACTCCCAAGTCTTGGAGCTTCGGACTACTTTGCTCTGTGACAGTCTCACTGTTTTTGACTTCCTCTCGACTGGACTTTGCTTGTCTGATGTACAGCTTGATTGAGATTGTCCTATTTTCTCTTAAGTTTAAGGTCTGCTCTTTTGTAAATAATTATTAGTTTTCTCCTGGTTAGCCAAAGACAGCATTAGTTATGAGTATCGAACAATAGATGTTCACATGAAATGCAACAAGGGACATCAATATTCAAAAAGTTATTTCTGCCACCATGCCCAAACGATCTTAATTTAATAGTTATATCTAGGTTCAGTGTTTCTGCCACTGAAGGCTCCACTGCTGCCTTCGAAAAATGTGAATTAATGCTTGAAATCTTGTATGATTTTCTTCCACGTGACACCCGAGTGAAAATCCTTTCAAACAAGAGCTTGACCTGTAACTACAGGACAAAAAAAAGGAAATGTGTGAGACATACATCTTTACTGGTGGGAGTTCTGGTTGCCATGGTAACAGCTGCTCAGCAGCGTCAGCTACCTAACTTTCGGCCACAGTGGCACATCTGAGCACACGGTGAAGGAGCAACTCTCCCTCCATGCTGACAGAGATGAAGTGGAGCATGGATTGAGTATTGAATAAAAACTGATTTATTAGGAGACATTTCTTCACATTAGTAAAAAGCTGCTTGAACCGTTTTTCTGTGGCTTAGAGTTTCGAAACATATGTTGTTTAAAGTTAAAGTTTCAAATAATTTACGTTTTTGAGTAAGACAATAGACCCAAAAAAGAGTAGGTAAAATAATGTATCCAGACTCCCCTAGTGCTGACACAAGTCCATGGTAGCCCCATTTGGTCAGTGATTGACAGAGCCTTTTATAAGATGCAGCTGTTTCTCCACACCTCACCACCAGTCTCTTGTAATAGGACTTGTGTGTATAAATGGACGCTGGATGTCTCTAACTTTCAATATGTCTCTGGGTTGTAGCGGTGCCGGTTGGGACGTGCAGCCAGAGAAGCTGGACTTCAGCCATTTCCACAGGAAACACTTCAGAGGAACGCCAAAGCACCTGCCACACATCGACAGAGAGGGGTAAGACCTTGGTTCTGCTGATGCTGCTCTGACTCAGCATTGTATTGATCATTCCATATTATTTAAGATATGGCTTTAGGATTGTCCTCTGTCACTAAGCCAATTCATGTCTGTCAATCGCTGATAGTTATTTTCTCTCTTCCAGGATGAATAAAAACAAGTTTGAGGAAGATGACGGCATAGACATGAATGACATAGAGAGGTTCCTGCCCCATCTGCGCTCTGTAAGTCACAGTTTTCTCTCTTATTGTGACTGTAATTTCTCCTACTTACATACATGTCTCACTCTGATAAGCAATATGCATATCTTTGAACTGCACATGCAACATCCTGTGGTTTTGCACTCATGTGAACAGCCAGTAAGCCACTCACTAAGATGATAACCCAACAACCCATTAGTAGTCAGAGGGTGACCCCTGGTGGCGTAATGGACAAATAATAGGTGTATTTACCAGACTACCTGCTGTAGTTAGGTCCATACTAAAATCACCAGAATGTTTAACATAAAAAAGAAGAACATTTATTTAGGAGCATTTTATTCTTCCAGAACAATTCATATATGCTAGATCAATCTCGATAGAGTCATACTTGTGTTATAAATGACACTGTTTGATTATAATTGAACATTTGGTGACACCTGCTGGTCAAACGCTGTAACTGACTTAAAGGTGCATGAAAATGTTTTACTGACCCCTGGTGGTTAAATGTATGTACAGCATTTAAACAACCCAAAAATGTCTACAAAAAAGTAAAGTAGGTTATTTGTTTCAAAGGATGTTTCTTTATGAGTTTGAAACCTTTTCAACAGCTTTTGACCTCATAAAACAATACTTATATCTCCATTGTAAGACAACTAAAACTTCTGTAACTTAGGAAGAATATCTAACTAATTGGGCTTACTCAGACTTCAAGAGGTTGTCTTTGCAATAAAGTTGCAGAAGGCTTCCCTTGAGAGGAGATAAGCCCCTGTCTGTTGATATCTTATAGTCTAAAGCCTTATATAACAGTTTCCTATTGTCATTCATTAGAAAAGGTTTTCCTGAATAGGACATTTCTGACGCCACCAAAGGGAAGACAAATATGTGTAATTGTTTTAGCAGCTGTGTATACCATTTTAAGGGTTTTGACCATTGTGTTTTCTAAAGTGATTTGTGAATCTGTGGCACGGCAGAGTTCACCCAACACTGGTGTTACCTTTCTCTCTTCCTTCCTCTGCTCTCTGAGCCAACATGTCTTCCATCTTTCAGAGCGTTAGAGCCACAGTGTCTTCCTCTCTCCTTCCCCTCTTGGCTTCTGTAGTCGAGCTGCAATTCGCCTCTCATAGTGTTTCAGCCAAGATGGGCCTACGAACATGGCTTCCTCATTGTATAGTTCTCAAGCCAAGATTGCTGTTTCCGTTCTTTCAGTTAGGGCCAATTGAAAGAGGGGATTAACTGCGTTTCTCTAGTGAGCTCGGGATCGGATATGTGTGGGCACTGGGATACAGCAAGGTCAGAGACACGGATTCGGGAATACTGCCATTTTCTCTTCCTCACATTCTTTTTCAGTTTTTGCCTTCACTTTTACTCTCTCTTTCACTTCTGGTCTTTGCTGCTGTGATGCAGTTTGTCCGAAAGCTCTGTCAGGCGGAGTCATGCAGCAGTGATGCCAGGCCACTGATGCCCAGTTTATACTCTAATAAGGCCATCAATGTGAGGGCACCTAAGTATCCATGTTATTGTCCAGGGCCAGTTACTTTAAAAAGAATAATACGTTACATAAATTACTGAAACTGAAGTCCACTTATAGAAATATAACTGTAGCCTAATCATTAACTGCATCTGTGCAGAAATAATGAGTTTAATCAGAATGTGAAACATAGCAAAATCATACTTACACACCGATGCATCAGTTATATCATAAGATATCAATCGTATAGGACATTGTTTTCCAATTGTTGTTTATGTAATTGTAAAGCATCCGAGTACCTCTTTGTATTGTTTTTTTTTATATTGTTTTCAGCATTTCTTTATCATCAACGTTATTATCTAGGCAGAAACGACAACACGTCACCTCCTCCAGCTACTACATGGCAGGGCTCATCCAAACTCACCGTCTACGGTCCACACTTCCTGCCAACATTCACCTCCCCTTTCCAGAAGTCGGAATAGACTTACTAATAGCCCTGGGATGTGGAAAACATCTTGTTTGTGTGTGTGGGCGTGTGAATGACTCTGATAGAAAGGGCTTCCTCCTCTTGCCCTCAGATTCTGCTGCACCTCCACCGGCCTCTCTGGAATGTCCACCAGTTCATACAATACCGCTGCCTTCACGTCCCGCCAGGTCGGAACGACAGAAGCATTCAGGCTTCAGAGAGAGGATTTCATCTGTGCATTCATACCAGCTATTGCATGGATTCTAAAACAAATTCCAACCATTTTTTTAATTATTGAATAACTAAAACAATTGTTAATTGTATGGCAATTTGTATAAACAATAGGTTCAAAATGCTTTGGGGAAAAAAATCAACAATTAAAACATACAGCACAGGAAAAATAGTATGAACAGATGTTAATCATTTAAAATCTTAAGATGATCATAAAAACATTTTGGGATCGAGGATAAAAAACAAATATATTTGACTATATAGACATGAGTTTAAAAGATTCTTTTAATATTTGAACCATTTGCCGATCAATTAACGGATTCATTTGTTTAGTCTATTAAACATCAAGGACTTGTAAGAAAATGCGTATCTGGCTTTCCTAAATCCAAAGGGACATAAATCAAATTATTTTTTCTGTGTTTGTTGTGCATGAGACAGCAGACTGTATGTGTTTTAATCTGAAAAATTACTTTTAATTAATTTATCAAGAACTATCCACCTACTCCAAAATACAAAGTGAAACGAGCCCCTTCGAGACAGTAATATGTCTTACCCCCTTCCCTCCTTCATGACGCATACTGTACGGCAGCATGGACACTTGATCTCCCTCACAGGGTGTTTGGCATCATCAACATGATCATGTCAGAATGATCCTCAGTGTTGTGACAGCCTCAGCCCGTGTGCATGTGTGTGGATTCATGAGGGTGCTACTGTACCTGAAATAAGATCAGCAAACGTCTGCTTGGCCAGACATCAACAGCTTTTTGTGTCAGTATGTGTTACATCCATGCACACACATTTTCCTAGACCGATTTTAGTGTAATTTTTTATTATTTAACGGCATTACTCTCTTACCTGTGGGTGTTTTTCATCTGAAATAGAGTGGAGTGGGTGCTTCTGTTTCTGTGCAAATGGTATGACTGTTGTGACCCGATGTTCTTTCCCATGAGGTAATTTATTGGCTGCCAAGATAATGTCAGCTCAGTGTTACCAGGAATCCAGGCAGTATCCATGACGGTCAGCCTCAGCTTGGTTATAGCTGAAAGCTATGTTATTAACAGCATATGGTGTAATAGTTTAACACTTTGGGAATAACTCTTTTTTGCTTTCTTGCCAAGAGTTAGATTCCAATTGGAATACCTCTATCATGTCTGCATGTATGTATGAATGTAAAGCTTTAGACAGCCACTTGGTAGTTGAGCTTAGAATAAAGCCTGAAAGAGTTAGCCTAACTTTGTTCAAAGATAAAAAGATAGCTGCTTTACACTTCAGTTATTGTACAGATGAAACCAACAAGAAATAGTGTGTCCAGTAGTGAGCTTTAAAACTGGTTTGATGATAGGCGGTAGGTGGATTTAAGAAGGGAAAAAAAGGTAGGAGTAGGACTAGCTGTTTCTCTTTGTTTCCAGTCTTTAGGCTAAGCCAGCCTTAGCCTGACTGTAGCTTCGTATTTACAGACATGAGCATGGCATCTTCTCTTCCTAACTCTCATTTGAAAAGTGTAAATATTATTGCCCGAAATGTATAACTATGGCCATAGCAAACCACTTTTTCTTTGATGTATTATAAACAGGATTACCGCATATACTACACAAATAAACTTGAGCATATACTAAACAAAGAAGTGTTTTGCTTCCTTGCAGTCAGTGATAAAATTCCAAATATCTTTAAGAATGGAGGGCACCAGAGGAGGAAGAGAAGGTTATGGTCAGAGCGAGCAGAGAGGGAGAAAGCGGCGAGTCATTTAGGAGACATCCGGTCTCTGGGCTGTGAACAAAGCCGTCCAACGGGGGAACAAAGCAGGAGTCTGGAGCTGAGATATCACAGACTGGTTGGCCCCTCCGTCTGGAAGCGTACGTGCTGCAGAGCAGGGCTCCAGTTGACAAGGGACATTGGCGGGGTGGGCTTATTGGGCGGTCTGTCTGTCAGCTGTCACTTTGTCTGAGACCTGCATTCCTCTCATACTATCATATCAACTCCCACACATGTACTGTTCCTGTATGTTTTTGATTACCTTGAACACACTGCACATCTCTTCTACCATCTTTTGCCTCGTCTCCCTTTGCTTCTTCCTATCTGCTGTTTTTCCTTTTCTCTTCTAACTACCATCATTATGCTCCGTTCCCCACTCCTACCTCTCCTTATGTCATCAATGTAATCCTCCCCTCGATCCTTCAAATGCTGGTGGGCAGCAGAACAATATCCAGGGGGTCATGGTGACCGGCAGCCCCCTCCCTGTGGTCTCTTCCTGCTATTGTTCCTGATCCCACTGCTGCTTGGCTCCTACACTCCATTAACCACACACACACACACTGGCTTAATCACCACTGCACAGCGCTCCGTTCTGGCCTGCGAGAAACACTGGAGACTTGAGAACACATGAAAGCGGGTTACCTTGGGAAAATTGTAATTAATTCCACAGAGGTATTAAATAGTGCACGAGTGACTGTTAAATGCATCACGTCTGAATGACAGTAAATATGTACACAAACAAGATTAACCTAATTTATTCTATCACATGTGCATAATAATGAAATGTGCATTGTAAAGCAGTTGGGGGAAAGAACAAGGCCAAAAAGGCGGATAACTTGATTTCATGCCCCTTTTTTTCTTTCCCCCTCCCCTCTTTGAACTGATTTATATACTTGGCATATTACTGCTGTGCTAAATCCCAAGAAACAAGGTAACCTCCAGCCTGCGCCATGATTAAATTAATGTCTATCTCTGTGTGTTCATGATAGGTTGAGTGCTGCCCACGGTGTCAATTTATGATCCTGATAATAAAGTAGTAAAATCAGCACTGTACCGAGCAACCAAAATGCCCCCAGAAGAATAGGGGTCATTAATAATTGGTCTTCA